AAGAATAGGCAGCGTGTGCAGCAGAGTAATCACCACGCTTGAATGCTTCGGAACCTCTTTGTCGGTCGGCTGAAGATGAGCTGAGCGCGGAGGATGAGACTGGAGGTATTTGACGGGGCGGTGCTTTTGGCCTGGGTGGCGTTGGCGTAGGAGCCGGACTTCGAGCTTTCTGGGATGATGTTGCTTGGAAGAATGGATTGTTGGATTGAGCAGGCGTTGGTTGGCGCGAAGACTGCTTTGACGGCGGCGTGGGATCTGGAGAGAAAAGATCTACTTCAGGCTGCGGCTGTGGCTGCGGTGTAGTCTTCTTCCGGCGAGCAGGACTGACATATGCTTGGGAGCTTTGTTCCTCTACCTCTTGTCGGGTCAATCGCGTTGCTGGTCGTTTATCCAAACTTGATGGCTGCTGTCGCTGTGACGGCGATTGCGATGACATGCGATCTGGGTAACCGTTTCGTCCGGTTTCTTGCTCTCTTCTTTGTCGTACAGGTAGCGGTTCGGCTTGGTGGCGCATGTCGCTCGTCCGGGATGGCTTCGTGGGACGCCCGCCAGCTTCCAGCATCATGGCTTCGTCTGTAGCCGACGCCTCGGCCTTTTGCTGTCGACTTGAACGAGGAGCAGCTTCCGCAGCCTGAGCGTCTCTCATCCACTTTGGCATGTTTGGATCACCCTCCTGTTGGAAATCGGCCATAGCCTTTTGTACTTGTTTGCGGCCCGTCTTCCAGAGAGAATTCGCCGATTTGAACAGGTTGTTGCCAATCTCTGAAGCCATTTGGGTAACGTCCTTTTCTTGACCTTCTTGCCTACGTTGTCCTGAACGGCTTCGCGCTTCATCTTCTTGCATCCACGCGGGTCTAGAGCCGCTTGCCCGTGGTTCTCTTGACGACTCCCGACCATTAGACCTGCTGTTCCCACGCCTCGGGCGCTCGTCTGACTCATCAGGCTCTCGACGTGATCTGTCCTGGCTCTGCGAATGTATTTTCTGTTTCGCATCGGCATGCGCCTGGTTTAACAGCCATCCTACAGCAGCCTGTACGTCGAGCCCAGAATCAGTGGTCGCAAGAGCAATTGCCGACCTTTCTGCTGGAAATCCCATGTCCACAAGTTCAGCAACAGCTTTGTCGTGCGCGTTCTGAGGGCCTGGAGAAGTTTGTTGTCGAGATTCCTCCGCGGGTGCTGTCTGAGGCTCTTCCTTGTGCTGGAATTCGGAGACTGGCTTTCCTAGCAAGCCTAGTATATCGTCGTCGGCAGCGTTGTTCGTTGGCGGTGGAGCAGGCGACGTGGACTTTTGCGCCATCTGCTTGAGACCAAACATGTCGTCATCGTCGTCGAGAAGCGCATTGCTGCTGGAGGAGGGCTGTGGTAGTGGCGTGTTGCCTCGGGAGACATTGGCGCTGTAGGCAGGTGTGCTCCTGCCGCTGCTGTGGGTGGGGACGGGAAAGTGGCTTGAGCGGTCTACGGGAGCTGCTGAGTTGAATGCTGCTAGAAGATCAGCCTCGCTGGGTGAAGACACCTCAGGTCGTCTCGAAGAGGTGTCCAAGCCTGCGAAGGGCTTGTTGATAGTCTTGGATAGGCCGTTATTGGTGAACGGGTTGTTCGAAGGACGCGGTGCGCCAAATGCCGCAGGCTCTGGCGTGCTCTTCCCACTTCCCAACGTGTCCCAATGCGTCGACTCGGCAGCTCCGAAAGTCGTATCCCATTGCTTCCTCTTCTCCGCCTCTTGTCTTGCCTTCTCCTCTTGTATCTGCTTCTGTCGTTCTTGTAGTGACAAATTGTTGGCGGGTGCTTTGGACTTGTTGGAGGACACGAGACCAGCGAAGCTATCGTTTGCGGGGGTCGCTGGTTTCGAGGGCACTTTGAACTGCTGCGCACCGCCGGAGCCAGCTCCTAAGCCAGATTGTTGCGCGGAGAGCGTAGAGAGGGGTGTGGATCGACCAGAGAGCTGAGGCGTGGGGCTCTGGCGGAAGGGTGGGAAGGCCGCGGGGGTGTTGGCGGGCTTTTTGGCGGGCTGCGACCAGTCGAGGCCGGCTAGGTCGTCCATGATGTCTGTTCTTGCGTGTGAAAGGTTTCAATGAGTGTGTAAAGGGAATGGTATCATAATGGCGGGTTGGGTGTTGGCATCGGTATTAGGTGTATTGACCGCTTCACGATTGTCGGTCGCGCTTGCTCGTTACGCGCCACAGAGCACAGCCACATCACGTGATATATGCAGGGTCTGCGTAGTCTCGCTGCTTTTTGGGCAGTTTCGACTACCTGAGCATGTCTGCATGGCGTTCGCAGGCAGCTCCCTGGTAAAACCGAAGTGCCAAAGTCTGCGACCACGATTTGTTAGGATAGTGCAACTATGAAGAGCCTCGTCTCTGCCACGGAAGCAAGAAAGATCTTCAATGTTGCAAAGGCAGGAAGAGCCGACATAGATGTCGCAGGTAGAGTGCTATGGAGCCCCATCTCGCAGCTCCCGCGGGCACGGACTTCTGTGGCTCGGATGCGGACCTCCCTGCCTTCTTGGACTGCATGCCTGTAACGATACCTACCGCGTACCCTGCCAATGCATTGGTGCGAGCAGTTCCTCCGAGCCGACCGGCTCAGTATCGATTGCTTGGTAAACAACAAGGTAAACAACCGCAAAGGATTCTTACTGCGGAGTCGGGCAACAGGCACAAATGGAGTGGGCGTATGCGGGTCCACAATTGGCAAGTTATGATGCGGCCAGTGGGCACTGTCGAACCGCGACCGCGGAGATGGTGGCAGTAGCACGTCCTGGCGCGAGCGGACTGTCCCGACTGTGCGACCCCTGAGCAAAGCTTTGCAAGGCTTTCTTCCCCAATGGCCTCACATCAGGACGATTTGGCTCCGTGGTCTCACATTGACTCGGGCCGAAGGAATCTAGTCATTCATTACTCGTAGACGGCACGGTAACCGAAGCCGCGAGGCCTTAGTGGTGTTGGCTCCAAAGGATACCAGTTGCTTTCGGCAGTTGTGCAGAAGAATGATATGGTCTCGAGAAGGTTCGGTCGGACTGTGCACGCAGGCGTCTTATTAGGCTGATCATAACAGCCAGCTCGTACCTGGACGGGAGACAGTCGACCCTCGGCGCTCAGGCACAGGCAGCATGGCGGATTTGCCGAGCCGCGAACCCGCGCCCACGGTATCAGACTTGACCACCCGCCCATCCCCGAAGGAAGCGAGGGCCAGATGACTCACGTGCGCACACTACTCGTAAAGAATCTTATGCCAGGAGAATCTGCGCGAATCTAGGTTTGGATGCGTATCCATGGTGATGCTGATGGTGCAGAGATGCAGCAGTTGGCCGATGGGTGACAGCACAAGTGGTAATGAGAGGTTGCATTTGATATATGCAAGCGGTCCGCTGGCTAGCCTGAACGGGGTCAAGACCGGTACCAGGTAGAGGTATCTGGTGGCTAGCCGCAAAGGGGATGTGGTGCGTGCCGCCAGGCTCGCGGTTGGAGCGAACGGCTCAGGTACAAGGCACCAACTATGCCTGGAGGGGAACAGAGAGCGAGGTCGCGGTCGCAGCTACTCCGTATAGACGCGACGAGAACAAGCAGTCGGGACCCTGCGGTGTGGAGCGGACTCCGATACGCATGGAGAAGCGGGCGCCCGGGCGAGTCTACACGAGAGACTCAGGAACAGGACGCTCGAGGGAGGGATGATAATTGCTAGCGTCGTCTATCGTGCCGTCCACTGACGCGGAAGAGCCAGGGGCAGTCGGTCGGCGCGACTATGCTGGCCAGGGTGGACAGGTACTATACATCTGCAAGCGACGCGTCTGTCTGGCTTTCTGCTCCTCAAACTCGCAACTCATCGCCTGGACTGGGACCCGCCTGATTTGCAATTCATGACTGCCCGGGTAGTAGTCTCTACACAAGGTTTTGCTACCAGCGCACGTGTCGACTCCCTTGCATACTAAGCTCCACCAGCGCAGTCGCTTCCGGATTGTTTGTCCAGGGATCTCCCGGCAACGGTTCCGCACTGCCAGTAAGCGCGGGCCTGGCACAGAACCATCGCTCTCGAGCATCCTCGCCCAGCTTTCGACGTGCCTTCCTACTCCCCAGCAAACCTCGCCAGAAACGCTCCTTCCGCCAGCTCCTCGCGCCCTCCGTCGCCGCTGCCTCCGATGCGTCTCTTCAACCGCAAGGGCTCCAAGCCCCAGGTTTCTCCCAACGGCAGCCAGCCGAACAGCTCCAATGGCTCCCTGCGCTCTCCTGGACCCACCCCAAACGGCTCTCGGCCTACAAGCTTCCCAGACGTCCCTCTGCCAAAGGCCCCGGATCCAACCCTCGACCCGGCCGGCTATCTGCGCAGCATCTACGCCGTGCGCGAGCGCTCCAAGCTGGTGCTCGAAAAGGCCAAAAAGAACCAGCTCAAGCACTTCACGGTCGACATGAGCAAGTTTGGCGATGTCGCCCGCTTTGTTGTATCGATAATCAAGGTAAGCCTCATTTCGCTGCGCAAGGATGCCATGCTGGGCCGCCTCCCTCTAACCGTGCCTGCAGCGCGACTATGCGCCCGACTACGCCTCCATCCCACCCCACGGCCGCTGGCAGCACTTCGATGTGGGTGGCCGCCCGCGAATCGACCAGCTCATGGCGTCATGGCCGTCAACCGTAGACAACCAAGAGCGCACCCGCCGCCTGATTGATCTTTTCCTCGTCTCCGTCCTCCTCGATGCAGGTGCAGGCACCAAATGGCAGTACAAGAGCAAGGAGTCGGGCAGGATCTACCGCCGCAGCGAGGGTCTTGCCGTCGCCAGTCTGGAGATGTTCAAGTCCGGCGCATTCAGCAGCGATCCCAGAGAGCCCTTCCAAGTCGACAGTGCGGGGCTGAAGAAGCTCGACGTCGCAACAGTGGCGCGTGGCTTGCAAGTCAACGCCACAAACCCAATAGACGGTCTCGAGGGTCGCACCAGCCTGCTGCTCCGCCTAGCAGAAGCCCTGCAAAATCAAGAAGTCTTTGGTCTCGAAGCGCGGCCAGGAAACATGCTCGGTACGCACACCATCCACAAGCCATGATGTTGGCTAACACTCTCAGACTACCTCCTCTCGCACCCCACCACACAAGCATCATCAGTCCCCATTATACCCCTACCCACACTCTGGAACACTCTCATGGACAGTTTGACCCCCATCTGGCCGGCAACGAGGACACAAATCGACGGTGTACCCATGGGCGACGCCTGGCCGTGCTCCGTCATGCCATCGCATCCTACCCACCCGTGGGAGAACATTGTCCCTTTCCATAAGCTGACACAATGGATGACCTACTCGCTAATGGTGCCAATGACGAGGCTACTCCACGTTCACTTCCCCGGCGCTGAGCTTCTGACCGGGTTGCCAGAATACCGAAACGGTGGACTTTTCATTGACGTCGGCCTCCTAACGCTCAAGCCCGATGACCAGAAGCGCGGCCTCGCACAATACCAACGCAACGCACAGGTGACAGGGCAACCGAGCATGGAGGTTGTGCCGATGTTTACCGCCGACGATGACGTGATCGTAGAATGGCGCGCAGTCACTGTCGGGTTACTCGACGATCTCCTAGTCGACGTAAATCAGCTGTTGGGCTTGAGCGGCTCTGACAAGCTCAATCTGGCCCAAATGTTGGAAGCTGGTAGTTGGAAGGTAAGTTTGACATGATTCCCATGTTCTGGGATGTAACTGACCCACAACACTAGGGAGGTCGAGAGATTGCTGAAGTGTCGCGGCCCAACACTAAAGAACCGCCAATCATGATCCTCTCGGACGGCACTGTTTTCTAAGATACCCCTTTCTTCGTTTGTTCCGCCCTTCCTTCGCTTCCTTCACATACAGCATCGTGCAGCGGAAGCACGTATCCGATACCCACGAGGGACCCTTGCCCCAGCCGCCGCAGTACCTTCTAATTATGGCCAAGTGGATGGGATTTATGATACACGATCTTGACGGTCGCATTTGGTGGACAGCTTCTTGTTTATACGTTCTGCTTTGTCACACCAGCCACGTTTACGTTTCATTCTACTTTGGAAGCGCTGGCGGCTTAAGATTCATTTCATGTGTTGTAATAATTCCTTACCATGACTTTTGGAATCTCCGTAGCCACGTACCAGAACCTTTCGAACGACAGCTGGCGCCTTCACTAATCTTCACAATGGGGAATTTTGATCTGACTAGAACTCCATGAACATAATACAAGAAATACTATGATGTGCATCGCTTTGACCACTGTTGATAGCAAGGATGGCCATCGCGTTTCCCAGTAGAAGGAATGCGGAGTGCGGAAGTGCCCCACTCACCTGCCAAGACGAGACCCAAAACCGCTCGGGGACGCCAAAGCTCGCCCAGGCGTGCTGTTTACAGTACGTCATCCCATCACCAAATCCCACCTGCACGCGACGGCTCCATATTACTAGACGCTTACCACTCCGCGTTCGCTACCAACCTTACCTTTGTCGCGCGGCGGTCTTCGCACAGCGCACCTTATCGCGACTCGCACGTAGCTTCTTTCCACAGTCGGAACGCTATCACCATGAACTCCATCAAACGGCAGAAGCAGCGCAAGGTGCTGCTTATGGGCAAGAGTGGAGCCGGCAAGTCATCAATGAGAAGCATCGTGTTTAGCAACTACGTCGCCAAAGATGTCCGGAGATTGGGTGCGACAATCGATGTTGAGCACAGCAATATCAAGTTCATGGGAAACCTCATGCTCAATCTCTGGGACTGCGGAGGGTGAGCCCATCAGCTACCAGACCAGACGATAACACGAACTGATCTTTCGCAGTCAGGACGGCTTCGTCGAGAACTACCTCAACCAATCTAGGAACCACGTCTTTGGCTCCGTCGCCGTCCTCATCTTCGTCTTCGACATCGAATCGCGCGAGTTCGCAGCCGATGTCGTCTCCTACTCCAATATCATTCGCGCCCTCCACGAGTGCAGCCCCAATGCCAAAGTCTTCTGTCTTATACACAAGATGGATCTTGTACAAGCCCGCCTCCGCCAAGCTATGTTCGACGAGCGCGCCGAGTACATCCGGGAGGCTAGCGAAGGATTCAAGGATACGGTTGAGTTTTTCGCAACAAGCATCTGGGACCAAAGCCTGTACAAGGCCTGGACAAAGATCATCTACTACTTGATACCGAATGCGGGAACGATTGAGGCACTGCTGGAACAGTTGGCCGAGGTTATTGATGCTAGAGAACTCATTCTGTATGAGCGTACAACTTGTCTTACAGTGGCACATGTTACAAGGCAGACTGAGGAAGCCAACCCGTTCACGGACCGGTTCGAGCGCATCTCAAGCATCCTGAAGACGCATAAACAGAGCATGGCGTACGTACCTGTCCTCCAACCAACCAACCATTCAAGACTTGGCTAATACTCTTTTCCCTCACAGGAAACACACAAACATTCCTGCCGGTAGTGCAAACTTTGCAGAAATGCAGATCAAAACGGGTCGCTTCATGTTCTTCATAACACGTCTCACCGAAAACACAAACCTCGCAGTCACCATCCCGCCTTCCGAACAGGTCTTCAACGCAGCCCGCGTGAACATCTTTCAAGTACGACCCAAATTCGCCGAACTCGACATCACCGCCAAACCTAGACCTCCGATTCAGACTGCGTTTGCAGGGAGCGCGGATACGAGCGACAGCACAGATAAAGGGAAGCAGAAGGAAGTAGGATACGGAAATGGCGTCTAGACGTCGCCTGAGCACAAGAGGGAAGTGAAGAGGATTGAAAAACTAAAAGACAGCTTGACGCAGGGCTTCGAGGATATGTTTGAAAGGGTCGACCCAACATGGGAAGGTTATGAGGAAACGCTGGACCAGACTAACCGGGCGAAGCGATTCTTACAGAATTATCAAAACTCTGAGGCTCTGCGGGTTTCAGAAACGTCGCCAGCACACAAAGAGGTAGAAAGGGCCTCAAATACTCCCCCATTGAACGGGCAGCGGAAAGAGGCAGAAGTGGCTGGTTCTGATGATGTACCTTCGGCCGGGAGTTGAAAGTCCATCTTTCAGCGCCGTTTTCCAGCAAGTGCATCGTGGAGATTCAGAGACAAATTCCACAAAGTCCTGGCATCCATTGATGTAACATTTCTCAGCTGGATTGGCTAGTTCGGAGCTTGGCTCGACATTGAGAGGTAGCAGATGTAGCTGTATCCGGAACGGTTACAAAGACATGTTGAAGATACCGATTCTTGAAGATCTTCAGATCCCTATCTATCTGGGCGTGCCGCTCCCTTCTTCATTCGCCAAACGCTTAACGGCAGTTGGCTTGCGACAGATGCTAGCCTTCGTCTCGACATACTGCGTGCGGCAATGATCAAGAATCCCGCGTTGGCCGATATCCATGGATCCCATGCGACAACACCCGACTATCGTGATTGCGTTGAGAAAACGCCGCATGCAAATCTACACAGAGAGCGAGCCAGGTGCGTCCTGTGTAGGTGCCAAAGCGAAGAGACTCAGGCATCCATCAGCGCCCCCACCAAGACTCAATCTCACCACAGACGTGCATCGCGCAGGTCTCGATCTGCGCTACCTTGCTAGCACCCATGCTGCAGATCCAAGAAAACACAAGAAAGCACATCCAAGAGAAAACGGTTGGTGCACAAGCAAGGCCAAGCGAGAATGCGGGGAAAACAACCTTCGCCTTTGTCTGATCTTGATCACGCAAAGCCTTGGATTGAAAAACGGGGCACGACGGCTTCGCCGTTCTTGATTGAAAACAGCAAGGAAGTACCTTGAAGCGCCGATGTCTTGCTAATATGCATAACAAGTGAGGTACTCGTTGTAATCCCGGAGTATGGTACTTTGCGATACAAGTGGCCGCAGCACCGGTCAAAGCATTTGCTGGGTGAGCTGATATATTAATACCGATCCTTCGGGAACTATGTGGACGTGCAGTGCATCTTTGTGCATTTACGTATGCATGCAGATATGGCGATGAGTCTTGTGTTACATTGCACCATGCCGTCATGTGAGATCCTCGTTTGCTTCAGCTGAGAGAAGTGGGTGTGTTTGTGGCTTGGCCTCAGGATACCAAGATGGAATGACCGAGGAAATGCCAAGGCGAATGTAGCGTACATGGCTGGTTTGCGATGGGACAGAATAGCTGTGCCCGTTCTGTTGTTTCTGCCGTTACTGTATGGGGTTTGAGCGCACGATGCTCCGTGGTATCGAAGAAGCGCCGAAGCCGCGTATCTTGAGCCATGGATTTATATTACCCGGAGTTCGTCGCGGCTTGTGATATCGGCATCAGCCTTAGCCCCTCCTGGCCCTCGCTTCATCGCAGCAAGAACTTCCAAGGCGTGAAGATACCGTCAAAGCCCGGCCAAGCCTATTACCCAAGAACGACCAAGTGCTCCGCCTTACCGTTTTGCAGCCACCAACGTTGGCCGACTCCCAGCTGTTATGCGGTGATTACTTACCCTGGCCTATCAGCTCATGATGCTATTGGCTGGTGAGCTGGCACCGCGTGATCGTGTCTGAGCATTTTGTTGATGGATAGCGATGGTTGCATGTGTGAGGATCGGTATTGGCATTGACCCAAGACGGGGAAACTGCAGCTTTTGGGAATGAAGCAGTAAGCCTGAATGACACGAACATATAAGCATGTCTGTTCGCCTGGTCTCGTATGATGAAGCTCTTTTGCATCTTTTCTTCTTGTTCTCGTATCTTGCTGGAAGCTTTCCTGAAGCTATCTCCACCTGGGCTTCGACGCCAAACATACTCAAGCTGTAGTGCGCACGTCTGCCTATAAGTTGGCCATGGCAGAACCTGAAAAGGATACCAAGATTGAGTAAGCTACCTGTCGCAAGCTGAAGGTGGTCACGATGTGAGGCTCAAATTATACTAACCGTGTGTCTTCTAGTCCAGTGGTAGTGGATGAACACCACGAGCGCAAGACATCCATCTTCGACGATGAACAGAAGCGCAAAGAGAGCGTCGCTCGCCTAACAGCCAATCTCGAGGGCGAGTAAGTAGTCCCTTAGCTGATCAAACCCACTTGGCACAAGCAGACTCGCGCCCGAAACTTCTCAAATGGCATGCTCAAGACTCGCTTTTACTAACAAATCCAGAATCCGCAACCCGCTCGTCGACATCCCACGAGAGCAGCTCTTAGCCAACGTGCACGACTTCGCCACAGAGCACCAACTAACCGACGTCGAGCCTCTCCTCGTCAAAGGCGCCCTCCTCGCCCAGTCGCCCGCACTCTTCGAAGATCTCGAAGAACTAGACGAGAATGATCGTACCGCCATCCGCGAAGAAATCACCCACCGTTTCAAACTACCTCGTACACTCTACTTTACCATTATCCTCAACTCCGTCGCCGCAGCTATCCAGGGCTGGGACCAAACGGGCTCCAACGGCGCTAATCTAACGTTCGGTCAGGCGCTTGGTATCCCCGATTCTGGTCCGGTGTGTGAGGCGGCGGGGACTTGCGAGAAGAATGGGTGGATTATTGGGTTTATTAATGCTTGTCCTTATATTGCTATTGCATGTGAGTCTGAGATGATGGGAAATTGGGGAGGAGTATGCTAACTTCGTACTTTTACAGTGTTCTGTGCTTGGATCTCTGGTGAGTCGGCTTTGAAATTCTTCTCATCTCATACCATCTCTTGCTAATGACCCTAGACCCCGTGAATGAACTCTGTGGTCGTCGTGGTACCATCTTCATCGCTGCCGTCTTCTCACTCTTGGCGCCCTTTGGCATGGGTCTGAGTCAGACATGGGGCGAGCTTGCTGTTTGCCGTGTGCTTTTGGGTGTTGGTATGGGACTTAAGGAAGTAACTGTGCCTGTCTTCTCGGCAGAGAATGTTCCGGCTAGTGTACGTGGCGGGCTCGTCATGTCCTGGCAGATCTGGTGAGTTAAGACTGTACGAATGCGTGTGAGATGAATACTGACTTCGCAAGGACGGCGTTTGGCATATTCCTGGGAACGGTCGCTAATCTGGCTGTCATGGTGAGTCCGTGAACGTGCTCGTAGTTTGCAACCGCTGACAATGGATAGAACACTGGGTCAATTTCATGGCGTCTACAATTCGGATCCGCGTTCATTCCTGCCGTTCCCCTCGTCATTGGCATCTGGTTCGTTCCTGAAAGTCCAAGATGGCTTATGAAAAAGCGAAAATACGCCAAAGCATACCGGTCCTTTCTTCGTCTACGCAACACCCCTCTTCAAGCAGCACGCGACCTCTACTACACCCATTGCCTCCTCGAGCAGGAAGAGGTCCTCATTCGCGAAGCTGGAATCAACCCCAAGTCCAACTTCTTCACACGCTTCATTGAGCTGTTCACGATTCCGCGTGTCCGTCGCGCGACGCAAGCTTCTGGTATTGTGATGATCGGTCAGCAGGTAAGATAGCGGGAATTCGATTGGGATGAATGAGGCTGACGAGAATAGATGTGCGGCATCAACATCATCGCGTTCTACAGCTCCACGATCTTCGCAGAAGGAGGAGCCACAAACAAGGAAGCCCTCATTGCGTCTTTTGGGTTCGGTCTCGTGAACTTCACGTTCGCTTGGCCGGCAGTCTGGACAATCGATACTTTCGGTCGCCGCGGCCTGCTTCTTTCCACGTTTCCCAATATGTTCTGGACGCTCCTTGTGGCTGGCATGTGCTATTACATTCCCAAGGACAGCGATGCACACCTGGGCTTGATTGCCTTCTTCGTGTACCTTTTTGGCGCCTTCTACTCTCCTGGAATGGGACCGGTGCCATTCACGTACTCGGCTGAGGTATTCCCGCTTTCGCACAGAGAAGTGGGTATGTCATGGGCTGTAGCCACGAACAACTTCTGGGCGGTAAGTCAAGTCGAACCGTCGGATTCTCTAGTGCGACCTGGACTGACTTGACACGCAAACGATTAGGCAGTGCTGTCGCTCACACTTCCTCGCATGCTCAAGGTTATGAGACCTCAAGGAGTATTCGGCTTCTACGCTGGTCTCAATGTTGTCGCCCTAGTTATGATGTAAGCCACTCTCGATCTGCTGCAACATTCTGAGAGCTAATAAATCTCCAGCTTCCTCTGGCTACCCGAAACCAAACAGCGAACACTTGAAGAGCTCGACTACATTTTCGGAGTCCCTACGCGCACCCACATGAACTACCAGGCTGGCAAGAACCTGCCTTGGTGGTTCAAGACGTACATACTCCGTCGCAAGGGTCTCTCCAAGCCTCAGCTTTACAAGTTTGGCGACCAGCGTCCACCTGTGAGTGTAACAGCGCAGATGAGCTATGCTTGGAACACGTACATTCTTCGCAAGAAGGGGCTGGCGAAGCCGGATGCTTATGTTCGTGCGGCGCCTCGAGGCGAGAAGCAGGTCTAGTCAACTTTGGAATAGAGTGTAGCGCGAAGCGAGAGATGGTGGTGATGCTGGATACATAGTTTGCAGCATGTTGGAGCCCATGGAACGTATCGATCGGTGGCCTAGCACGGCGTATGGGTGGTTGTGGCGGCATGCGCTCTTATCGATTTTTTTTTGTTTATACCCTTGAACTCGCTCGACTGGGCATTCTAGTCTGTCACTAATCACGATGAGTACCGCAGAGTACCGGGGGTGTGGTTTTCGTCGCACACATCGCTTCCAAGGTTGTTCCGCGTTGCTCCTTCTCCCCGTCGCTCGCTTGACATATGATAAGTTCCACAACGATAGAGTAACAAGATGGTATCCGATAAGACGTGATAAACCTTGGAAGGTAGACGGCGATGTGAAGTCATTCGTCGTGGAGACGGATCGCTGTCAGAATCCCCACTACTCAAGGCGACGCCTATCGTCATGCGGCCCCACAAAAACGCGCTTCTCAAGCGCAGCGCGCGTCTGGATACTAGTGCAGACCATTATCAACCACTTTCACATGCACCAGGAAGCATCGTAACGGCTATTCGGATGCTGCGCCAAACCCCGAAGGGCTCTGACAGGAGGTGCCTCGGCAGTCAGCCTCGGCATGAAGCTAACCACCAGCCAATGCACCCCAGCGCAGCTATCACGGCGGCCGCCTCGAGGGTGGGCTGACCATCAGCAACCCCATAGCTCCAGGAACCCGACGATCCCGGGGCACATCCTCTTCCTTTCCTGTCTTCCGACTTAAAGTTGACTTACCCCCATACGTTGCTCCCCTGACTTGACCGTCGGATCCGCTTCTCGAAGCCATTTCCCCGCATCTCCCGCCGTTTCCGCACGCTCTTATACAACGCCTGCGCCGCCGCCTCGCGGGTACCTCACCAGCGTTGTCGCAAAGCATCAGGTCTGCTTGACGAATACCCAAGATGCCAGTCTTTGACCTGAAGAAGAACCTCGTCTTCGTAATGGCGCCCGTACAGCCCCAGAGCGCGCTCGCTGGCTAATGCGAAGAGCAGTATGGCGCATACCACCGCGATCCAACCAATGTCGCCATCCACATAGCATGCGTGCCCGTCCTTCTCGCAACAGGAATCTTGTTTGTGCGTCGCCATCCTATCCTTCCGTCCTCTCAGTATAGATCGCTGACTGACCCGACCATCTAGGGCACCAACACCCCCACCCTCCCCATCCGCCAGCACCCGCTCCTGACACGTCTCAACCTACCGTTAAACCTAGGCACAATTGCCGCAGCCACCTATTCGACCTTATACCTCATGCTCTCCCCCAACCTCGCCGGCATCACCGTCACCCCCATCATCCTCGCCTTCGCATCCCTCTCCAACCGCCTCACGCAGCGCTACAACAAGACCAAAGTCAACAGCATTGCCGGCGCCATCCATGTCGTGAGCTGGATACTACAATTCGTAGGACACGGAAAATTCGAGGGACGGAAGCCGGCTTTGCTAGACAATCTGGTCCAAGCCCTGTTTCTGGCACCGCTGTTCGTGTGGTATGAGATTCTGTTCAAGATGGGCTTCTACAAGAACCTGAGAAGGGAGGTCGACATGGGTATTGAGGTGGAGATTGCCAAGTTGAAGGCGAAGAAGGCTGGTAAGGGTAAGGGTAAGGAGACTGTGATGGATGATGTGATTGATATTGTGGATAACGAGAAGGAGAGCGGTGATGAGGTTTGAACATGGAGTGAAATTGATTCCCGAGATATCTGAGTAACAGTATGGCAGCCCGAATATGACATTATGCACCAATGGTCGCCATCGCTACCAGCATTGACCAGTTACAGATAGAGTACTGTACAAACGTATGACACAACTTTTTTATCCACATATCCACAGCACTCAGCACAATTCAGTATCCTGAACTTCCAGTTTGCATCACTCGAAAGCCGCTTTGAGAATGCTCTCACGCTTCAAGACAGCGATAAGGTCCTTTAGTAAAAATGATTAGCAGTTGTCCAGAATGATACCAAGAAACACTTACTTTAAACGGATCCTCATCAAGCTCAACCGAAACAGGCATGATAGCCACCTGGGATGGCATGGCGGGCTCCTGGCTTTCGTCTTGTACAATGCTAACGCACCCAGGAATCTCCTCTAGCAGCAAGTCTGGCACATCGCCAGCAGGAGTATCCGCAATCGCCGTGTTGATGGAGTCGATAGCGTCTCCGAAGGCGGTGGCAGTAGAAAAGACGGGTGTCTCGACAGGCGGGGCCACAGTAGACCCGGTGGAACGGATCCGATACGCCAGTGTAGAGACCTCACTCTCCGTCTTCTTGACCTGAGTGCTGTCAACGGCAGTCTCATCCGTATCATCAGACTCCTCTTCTTCCTCATATCCTTCCCAGATCTTAAACTTTCCCCGCTTAAACGCCAGCTTTGCCGTGCTGAAGTTGACGATCTTCCGGAAGCGAAATGGTTCGATCTCAGGCCAGTATGTGTATGAGAAATGGATGCAGCGCGAGTAACCGGCAACGTAGTCTCGGGCCGCGTTGAGGGAAGGGAACGCTGGTAGCCATGTGGGGATGCGGGTGAAGAGCTCTTTAATGTCGCTCTCGATAGCTCCTATTTAATGAGTTAGTGTAGCATAAAGCGTCCAAAAGTGAGATGGCATACCGTTCATCGTAGTCAACTTCATCCCAGGCGCTTTTGACCCCTTGGGCTTTCGGCATCGCCAATCCTCACCGGGGACATCCATCTCAAAGCGACCATCTTCAAAAGTATGCCTCACAGTATTGAAGTTTACGTAACGCCGAAACTTGTCCTTCTCAACCCCTTTGAACTCTGTGTATGCGAAGCCCTTCCAACGTGCAACACTGTCGACGTGTACGAGAGCATCGTCCACACCGGAGAAGTGGGGCCAATAAGGTACCAGGGGGAGTAGCCGTCGAATGTCTGCTTCAATGGCCGCTGAGTCGTGTTACATGTCAGCTTGGAATAACCAAAAAAGACGGGGCAAACATACCTCTCAAAGCCGGCCGATCTACCAATCCGACCTCCAAGTAGAACTCTCCCTGCTTGAAAGCGTTGCAGGCTACTACGAAGCATACCTTGTCCTTGATGTATGCCAGCTCCTGCTTCGTCAAGAACTGCTTGGTGGTGATGTACTGGTTCCCAGACTGCTTGCAGGTAGTGTTGATGTACTCTTTGACTTCTTCGATGTCGTGGAAGCGTGTGGGGTAGGTGTGTATGTCTGCTTCTACTTTCGCTGCGGCGCAGAAGACAATGCCTGTAAGTGTTAGTGGAGAACTCTGTTGTACACGAGGAAAGAGCTCGACGAACTCTTTAGGTGCTTGTTATAGGGCATGATGATCGTGTCGGCAAGATCGGGTGGGTGCCTGTCAGGTTGTGGATAGAGAGAAAGATAATGTATGTTGTATCGAGATACTGATGAAGAGGAGTGGAAGACGATGAGATGTTCAAACTCTGTTGCATTCTGGTTTGAAATGACTGCGTTCTAACAAACGCACATGTTCCAGCCCAAGGCATCGGATGGACGTGACACGTAGCCAGTCGCCTGCAAACGAACGCGAGCGAATCTGGTCTCTTGATGGCGGAAGTCAAGACCACTAAGCATTCGGCAACGCCAGACACCGATCAGAGTCCGAAGATAGTAATCAGCTGTCCTGACAGACGCCGCCATGTATAATATACAATCTCGTGGCTGCGCACGTACTGCCCGCATGATCAATCGTCATGCCTGTACCAAAACGCTCATTTTAATACACTTTTGACACCTGACATACAACTTGTCTACTCTTCCTCGTCGCTCTCATCATCGTCCACCCTATACAAGAAGTACTGCACAAACACTCCGGCATCCAACAGCAATGTGCCAAAGCTGCCCAACAGCCAGCTCATATTGACCGCAATGTATTTGCCGTACTCGGCACGCCCCTCCCCATCCTGACAAACGTGGCCCCCACACTTGGGCTTGTATACCAGGATACTCAGAACATACGTCAGGTTACCCAGGCAAGCAAACAGAAAGAACAACATGCTGATGCCCTCGGTCGACTTGCGGCGGTAGTTGAGCAGGAGCTGTGGGACGCGGGACCCAAGATAAAGCGCGGCACAAACGTAACCTGAGACCTGGCCCCAAAGGTTGAAGTGCAGGGTCGATTCGGGTGATGAGTCCTCGCCGTCGGGCTGGCTGGGAGCGGTGGAGTTTCGTGCGCTAAGATACCAACCGAAAACACCGGCCGCGCATACAAGAACTATGGTTCCAAGATTGAAGAGGATCGTTTGCAGACTGGACTGGGTCGGCTGAGGCCTGGCTGTAACTGTGCCATTTTGATGTGCAGCAGTCGAGTCATCGTGGAGCGGTGTGACAGGCGAGAGATGCGTACCGTCGATGGAGAGGTAGCGCTCACGGAATGAGCCTTGAGAATGACCTGAGCCACGGCGATCGATGTCCGAAATGCGCGGTCTCTGGACTTCGATTCCATGGCCGTTGCCGTTTGTGTATGGTGAGCCGCTCGATTGGGGTCTGCGATGAGGCAGAAGCGGTGACTGCTCGCTAACTTCGCTATCCGTGTCGGATTCATCGGCGGGTTTCTTATACTCATCGCGCAACGTAAAGCCCTTGTAGTAGAAGCACTGTAGCAGCAGCACGATGTCGGCTAGAGTGTAATACACCGCCAATATGGTCATCGTTGGCAGGACACCTTGCAGCACCGCGCCTATGATATTGAAGAAGTCGCCGAGTAGCCATACTACGATGAAGACCACTGAAAGGCCCTCCGCTGAGCCTCTCTTCCAATTCTCGATGATCTGAGGTGAGAAAACAACTGTCGCACAGGTTAGCTCCGGCGTGCCGAGGTAACAGCCATGCAAAAGCAACGCGAGGCAAGCGCGTTGCACAGCAGGTAGCAGTGCAAAAGTTGCATCTCACGTACCTATCCAACATGCGATGCTTATGGAACCGAATATCTGGCTGATGGCATCAATGTCCAATCGCAACCCTTGCGATGGAGGAAACATCTTCGCTATGACGTAACCACCGGTTTCCTAGCTCTTTCTCAGTCGCACAATTCTGGAGCAGCTCTCAAAACTCGGAGGAGCTGGTCTAAAGTCCTTGCGACTGCACTATTAATGACAGATGTTCGCAAGCTTGCAGCTCCCTTCCCTGGCGATGAAATGCGACGTGAACGTTTCTCTTAACAAAGAGCGGCCGGCTATAGCTATGCAAGCGAGTCCCGGATCAGCCGCGTACGTGGGTGACGGATGTATGTTGAAAGACGGTGGTGAAGATGTTGATTGGGTAGTCTTTGATGAGGGCAAAGAATATGAGATGGAATCTAGAACGCAATTGCTGCGATGACTGACATGTGGAAAATCTCGGGCGAGTACGTAATCCGGGGTTACAGGGATGAGCTTCTGCAGGAACCAGAAAGAGCCGCACTAAGCGAGCTGCGAACGTGTGCCTCACGCGACGAACCAATTTGACCAATTGCTTATTTCCATGAATTCGTCATTGGATGGCCTTGATCATTATTTATATACCTATGTACTTTGATGTACAGGTAGCTCTGCGTAGCTCATATACGTCTCGTTCACTAACCAGTACCCTCCCAGAAGGCAGCCGCCGCCGCAAGATCATCAACGTTGAGCAGATCGACGCCCTCGTCCCAGAGAATACGCCAAACCGCGTTTCTCGTACCGATCGGGTACGCCGGCTGGTTCCAATACCTGGCCATGATGCCCTTCTCATGTGCCATGTCAAGCTGGCTCCTTAGCGTCTCCAGCTGCGTATCGTTGAACTCCCGCTTGCGCACCTCGCCAAAGGACGACGCAAAGTTTGTGGACGCGATTGGTGACTCGTTTGCTGTGAGGTCTGCATATTTGGAGCCGTTGAGATCAGCAAGTGGCGCGTCAAAGAAGACGTCACGTGGAGACGACGCAAGAACGTCCGAAAGCTGGGTGTTTCCAGTTCCAATGACGGTAACGGGGTTCTTGCGCAGGTTGGTTCCGTCGTAAGTTGTCAGCCAGTCGCCGCTTCGCAGAGGCTCTAGGGCTTCAAGAACAGCGGGCCAGGTCTCGTCGGCGGCAGTCTTCAAGTCAATGAAGAAGTAGAGAGTCTGTCCGCTAGAGGTGTCGAACACACCATTCTGCTCGCCAGGCTGCACGAATCGTGTCTTCGGGTTCAGGCGATGCAGAGTGTCGAGGATTGGCTCCAGATAGAGAGAGTGGAGAGTGCGCTTGTCGGTTAGGGCAGCAGGCTCATGACCAACCTATCGTTCATTAGCGGAATTAGATGTATTCGCGACGCGGAACTTACGTAGAGCGTGCCATTCAGAAGCCACACGTCAGCTTCAGTCGATATGGCACCCTGGCTCAACCCCGAGTAGAACGGCACATCGCGCCAGTAGTCATTATGGCTATGGAACGGCTTTGGGATAATCTCCCTCGTAAAGTCCGTTGGGTACGTGTATTTATCGCTCTTGTCTGTGTTCTCGAGTATGTTCTTGAGTGGCGTCTGCTGCCCATATGGTGCTGCGCTGCAGAGCGCGGCCAGACTGGCGGTAAGAGCGAAGGAGCGCATGACGAAGGCGACGCGACACGAATGATGCAGAGCGAACAGGGATTTAAAGTAAGCAATGCGGAAGCTTTATAGACGGAGCGCAACTTCAACGAAGCGATTGAAGGGTGACAATTGACGGTTGATGAGAGATCGCATTGAAGCTTGTCAACGATGTCACTGGTGGGGACAGCCGTGGACATCCGGCCAATCCGGGCAAGCTGCTCGGCCCGTGGCAGTATGGCTTGCTTCTGGAGGCCTCGTTGCATGGCGACACGTGCAGCAAGAACAACAATTACTCGCCATTCTTCTTCTCGCGAATCTTCGTCGGCAGAAGAACTTCGGAGTATTTGCGATATCGGCTCGGTGGCTGTATGACCGAAGCTTTTGTTGCGCTATGGCGTTGGCCTATTGGTCGCTGCATGGAATACTAGGTATCGCAGTATTTTCTGCTGATATTTCGCAAATGAGCTTTGTAGTTGTTCTTTCTATGTCTGCAGATAATTTGGTAGTCCGAGACACGTCAGCATCAAAGCAGCGTGGTTATCCAGGGTGCAGAGCTCAACCTGGGAAGGGTCGCGCTGGAAGCACAAACACGTGTGCATACCATTGCAGGGAACAAACCTGAAAACGGCTTGCAATTGCAACTTCGTCTAGAGCTTGAACATGCTGGGAGACCAGGTCAACGGCGTCTCTAGTGGTGTCTCCGAAATTGATCGCAAGGAAGCTGGACGTGGAATTCCTGGTTGTACAACGAGTAGCGGGTCGAAAGGCCTTGTCTACCTAGGTACTCTACTCACACTGCGCCTCTGTAAACAAGACATGTAGTACGGTGTTGCTTACATCAGACGGCTGTGATGTAAATCTTGCTCGCATTCCCCTGAAACCACACCCCATTACCACAGTCTGGGTGTCTTTTCGGTCCTTCAGCCCCACCTGCGTCTTCTTTCCAAGATTCAAGCTTCGCACCATGTAATTCCCTGGCCCTCAACGGGACTACATCGGCTTTTCTTTCCGCATCACGGGATTCTGGACGAGATCCTGCAAGATACTAGTGCATTTTGTAAAATCAGGGTCCTGGCCGGGGCTAATGAGAATAATTG